CTGCTCTCTGAAGATGCCGGTCACAGATGCTGGCGAAACGTTAGGAAACAAAACTTCCAGAGCATGGCCACACAGCTCGGAAGACCACACCAGCCATGGTATCTCAATTGTTTAGTATATTCTTTACATCTTTTAACATCTACTGGGGGGGAGGACATCTGATTTACAGGTTTTCTTAAGAAATGCTTACAGACAACACAACATTTCTTTTTTAACCAGTCAGGAAGTCCCCAACCTGTCTAGACATAGGAAAGAATTGTGTGCCGGCAGCAGCATCCACAGGGAGATCATGTGCAGTGCCTGATGAAAGCAGTGTTGCAAGGTAAGCCCTTCCCCTTTTATACATGCATTGTGACATCACATAGATGTCCCAAAGGAGGGGAGCTTGGCGATGACAAGGCAATGCTGCTTTCCTCAGTTTGATGAAAGCAGCAAGCCATATACTCAGATAAGAATCTAAAGCTCAGTCCAAACCAAAATGAAGCATTGCTGATGAACCGATACCAGGACTGGTCCAAGCACATAAACTATTTCCTTCTTTTGGAAGGAGGTTAAATAGTTTGCTTACATCTGGCTTGAACACTGGTCTAGGAAGGTCAGATAGCAGCAGTAGTTAGGACCACCATCTCTCAGGTTTCATTACAGATAGTCCTTGCTTAGCGCCAACAACTGGGACCAGCAACTCTGTCGCTAAGCGCCAGAGTCATTAAGCGGAAAATCACGTGATTGCGATGGACTTATAACTACCCATTCAGTCATTAAGTGAATCACTGTGGTCATTAAGCAAGACATCATGTGACCACAACTTGAGATATTCAGTGTTCTCCATTAACTCTGTCAGAAGCTGGTTGGGAAGCACACAAATGGCAATCGCATGACTGCAGGATGCTGCACCAGTTGTAAATGCACACCGGTTATAAATGCGTGCTGGTTGTGAAGCACTCAAATGGGGATCATGTGACTGCAGGATGCTGCAACAGTTGTAAATGCAAGGATTGGTCACAAAGCTGTTTTTTTTTTACACTGTCGTAACTTTGAATGGTTACTAAACAAAGCAGTCAGTAAGTGAGGACTACCTATAATACACCAGCTGTACTTCTTCATAGAGAAGGTCTGATCCATGCTTTTACTGACTTCCATGTACAATACTGCACTGTACTACATGAGGAAATTGTGCCTTAAGAGGGCTTGAAGACTGATACTAGTGAAAAAATGGAGGGAGGGGCAAGCACTTTCTATTTTTCACTAACTGCATTGGCCTCAAATTTGTCTCCGGGGCAAATAAAAAGATTACTTCTTTCCTATTAAACTTAAAAGAGCGTTTAGCTACAACTTCATGAACCCTGCTATATGGCTAGCACCAAGGGAAAATCAGTTCGTAGAAACATGGCACAGAAATTATTCTGTAAAATCACCCCCACTGTGACACTTTCTCTTTATGGAATGAAATTGGTTTCATCATTGTTTAGTTTTAAGTGGTCTATTAAATTTTGTTGTTCTGTGGGGCTCTTTAAAAAAATCTGAAATTTAATTCTCAGTTTTAAAACTGATGGTTTTTCTCTTCTTAATTTATTTGCTGCATATTTTTTTTAGTGTTGAAGTTACACTTTAAATTGCAATTCATCTGCTAGGATACTATTTCTACCAAGTACATTTTATCAGAACAGAGCAAGCCTTTTTCTAAAAGCTCTCAGAAAAAGTTAAGTATTTCTGCATATCCTAGCCAAGTTTAACAAAGTATGATTTTCTCCAATAAAACTAGTAAAGAATTTGAGATCCATCTTGGAACCCAGCAATTATGAAAAATAAGAGAGAGAGAGAAAGCGTGCACTAGAGGGCAGCAAAGACAATTGAGTGGATTGGAATGTTCAGCTTTTGAAACTTGTACAGTACAAGAACAAAACCATGCCTTGTACAACACAAATCACTGTCTTTAAAAAATAATGCAAACATAGTTACTGCAGCATTTCAATAAACTACTTAGTAACTATATGAATATATAGGACAGAAGGGGGCATAATGTGGAAGACAGAAAGAACTAAACCAGCAAACTCTAAAAGGATTCAATTATTGGTTATTTGAGTAACACATACATTATTTCTACTGATTCCAGTAAAACTACACTAAAGCCCATGTATCAGCTACTTTACATTTTACATGCATTTCTAATGTCACAGAGGAGTAAACTTGATTTTTTCAAGTTTTCTCATTTTTAACTCCCTCTATTTTTTAAAAATAAATAGTGTTTGCTACTTAAGGACATAAAGTTGTAGGAATCACTAGCATGGGAGAAAGCATACTATACTGAAAAGATCACTGTAATTTTTCCTTTCTTGTCAAATATTATAAAAAATGTACTATCTGAATTTATTGACTTGAAGTGTTTTAAGTAATATTCTGATAATTTACATGGAAATAATTTATACTGTCCAGTAAAAGTTGACTATTATTCATTTCTTAAATGATCCACAGAAATAAATATTTTGACATGTTTTTTGGAGGCTGCCAGGCAACAAATTCCTTTACATTTCCATAATACAGCTGCCCGACCTCAGAATCAAATTTGCATCACACTTCAAAAATGCATAAAAGAGATTTTTAGTAATGTGTTTAATAATGCTTAAACTAACATTTAAACATTGATATTGACTTTCTGTAGGTTACTCAACTTGCACTTTTTGTGTAATTTTTAAAAAATCTATAAAATTACCACAACACCTAGCAAAGCATACAAATTTGCCAGAACATATCCTCATCATACAAGTTATTTCGGTAACATGCCTAAACTTAGCTGTAAGTTTGTTGTGATTGTATTCAGGTTACCTTTAAAAAGGGGAGCAACTGATACTTGACTGCGAGAGTTGCAAACACTACAAGTACCTCATTCAAGCTTTCAAAAATATCATTTTTGAATTACTATAGCCATTTTCCTTTAATAATCATTTACACTTCAAAAATGGCTTAGAAGAATTGCTTTGGATTCCATGTAAGTACATAATTAAAGCAAATTAAATGTCCCAGATAATAATAATAATAATAATAATAATAATAATAATAATAATAGTAGTAGTAGTAGTAGTAGTAGTAGTATATGCAACCCAGTTCTCAGCAACTCTGGGCAATTTATAAATTGGTAGAATAACAAATTGGGTGGAAACAAAAGAAAACAACCTAGGAGGCTTCAGTCATCCTCACCAAAGGCCTGGGCAAAAAGCCAAGTCTTCAGACCCCTTCAAAAACACCAGCAGGGTGGGGACAATTCAGACCTCAGGGGGAACCCCATTCCAGAGAGCAAGCACTGTGACAGAGAAGGCTTGCTTCTGGGATCCCAATAGATGGCTTTGTTTAACTGAAGGAACCCGGAGCACGTCAACCCTGCCAGATTGAATTGGCCGGACAGATACTGTACTAGGGGAGATAGACAGTCCCTCAAGTAACCAGGCCTGATGTCATGTTTAAAAGTCTTTAAGAGTCACTTAGACACTCAGACTTTAAGAGTCACTTTAATTAATCCACTCCTTAAATCAAAAGCATCTCTTTTGAGACACACACAGAAGCCTGCTTTAATTAGTAACAGAGAGGTGCTGTGTTTTCATGAAGTCCAAGGCACAGTAGGAAAACCTATCTTAACTTTATTTGCAAGTTCAAAATTAATATGAAACTTAAGAGTCTTTTGTTATACCTGTGCCTCTGAAAGTACCTAGTCAGAACAAGTTCTAATAGCTTCCTAACCAGTATGTAAAAGTTACATCATTTTCTTGTCTCTGTTTCTTCTAGCATATCTAGTAAGAGAGACTGCAAAAGTAATTTTTCTTTTCTTAATACATGCAGTCTAATATAATGCCATGCCTTTCACCCTTGAAAATTACACTGCCTTTCATATTATTGAGAAATCTTTGTCAGGCAGAAGGGAAGCCTGTAGAGTTCTGTATGCATATAGCAAAACCAAACTCACTTTCTAATGCAAGTATTTTGAGTCACATCTGGTGAAGTAGCATCTCATCATGAAACACATAACACAAACACCCTGGTTAAGCCACCAGATGTAAATTGCTGTTTTACTCCATTAGACCTAACATATATTCAACCTGACATTTGTATTTAGCAATGCTATTTTTTTCTAACATGTTCCAAATAACTGTTCCCCTATAGTATTTTAAAATAAAAACCAAAAAAGAGAAAGAACTTACACAAAATCAGCCATACTAGAATTATTAGAATTTCTGATCAGTCACTAAAGGATTGTATGTTTTTATTTATTATTATTTTTCCTAAAAATTCTAGTCCTAATGTACTTGAAAGATTTATCTCTCAAACCAAGGAAGGAATGCAACCTTCTCCCCAAGTATTTCATGAAAGATTCCTGTGAAGCCATGGAAAACTGCTTCCAATCATTACTGAGTTAGATGGATGAATATTATAAGAACAGAACTGTATAATTTGACATGTGGAAAATGCAAAGTGCACATGGCAAAACATAGCCATATTTAGAGAGAGGGCACGTTGGATCTTTGCATCCATTCAAATTGTGTTCTTCTTAGAAGATTCTACCATAGAAGCTATTTATTTTCCCATAAATTGAAAGATCAGCTAAGAAATCAGTAACAATCATTTTTAAAAAGGAACTGAACATCATTGTTCATGTGCTATTCAAATAACATATATACATCAATGGATTTAAAAAAAAACAAGAAAACATTTTTGTCACAAACTGCTTTTTGAACTGGGGATCGTCAAGGAGGAAGGAAACTCAGAAAAATTAAAGTGAAGCTATCCCTCTTAATCAGAACTATATTACTTAAATATGTAGATTTAACAGGCCAAAAGTAGTTTGAAAACTTAATTAAATTTTCACACACCGAGTTTTCATCCTCTTCTTCCAGTTCCCTCTGCTGTTCTTCATGCTTTTTGGTCTTAATTTCCATAGCTTCAGTAATCAGGTCTCTCAGAATTGAGACTTGCTTGGCATTTTTAATAAAAGGATGCTAGAAAATAAACCCATACAGTTATACAACATGGAGCGTACAGACAATCTGTACTCACACTATAAATAAAGTAACATGTTAGAACAACATGCCAATCAACTTCACAGACCAGCACATGAGAGAGCATTTCCCTTTGGACAGCAATTAAAATCTGGAATAAGAGAGCATATGATCTGTTTAACTGCTTTACAACTAAATAGGATTTTCCTTTTTGTTTGTTTAGGTAAACAGCAACCATGAGAAGAATGTTACAACAAAACACAACTGCTTTACAGTTAAGGATATAATTGTCCAAAGGAAATGTGAATTAAGTGGTAAATAAACAAAGAGAAGATAGCCTGACATAGAAAAACAAACTTTATAATGCATTCAGTTATATCATTTTAATTCATTTTAACAAGCTGACAATGCAAATTAGCAGTCATAAGGAGAGCAGCCACTATAGCATGAGAAACCTGTATTCTAACAGAATACAAATCACTGAGTCATTGGCAATGATGAAATATAAATGAAGCAAAATTAAAATCATCAGGATGGGCAATTGAAATTCAACAAAAACAGATTTATTTAAAGACAGCTTACACTCCTGTTTAAAAACCTTCATGCATCCTCTATCAGTACTGTGAATTTGGACCTTATTAGAACATATCCCTAGGAAGCATAGTCAGTGGTGAAGGATGTTGGGAATTGAAGTTCAGCAACATCTGGAGTTTCACAGGATGCCTACCCTGAAAATCATTACTCATTTCCTGCATACAACATAGATACCTTCCCACAAGACTGTGCATAAGTTCCAGGGATACCAGTTTCTTTTCAGTTGTGGAGTTAAAACATGGAAAGTGGCATTTTTCTCTCATATTATATAGCCAAAGCCGTTGTGATTGCCAAATCAAATGTTGCTGTGTATTACAGCCCCATGACATCAGTTAGGAAAAATGAATTTGCCCAAATGTAAACAACAGTAAAATTATGCCCTTTTTCTTCCTGTACTGTCCACAGACTCTGTTTTTCTTTTTCTAAATCTTTTTTGTTGATTTTCCACTCAATACACACATCCAGATTCATATATATAACAAAGAATTGGTATTTTTCTATAACATATTTGTTACCAGTGCTATACTGGGCAAAATCGTCATCATCATCATCATCACAAAAATAGTGAGGGCACTTTTGAAGTCACTTTTCTTGACTTTCACAACAGAAAAAGATTATCAAAATTACAGTGCAAATCCTTAAAAGGATTATAATTAGAAAAAAAACATAAAGATAAAAATTTAGCACAAGAACAAATATCTGAGTTTACTTTGAGATGGATGGATGGATGGATAAAATTTAATATTTAAAGAATAAAAATATGCACAAAGAAAGAAAGGGTGACAACAGCAGAAGAGAAGGATGAAAAGAAGAATCAACGGGAAGGATGAAAAGGGTCAGATAATTCATATCCAAAAATTTTGGCTAGTGAAAAATATTCAGGAAATGTTTGGAGCAGGAATATTGACTGCAGAGATAGTGTTATTCCAAATATAACATGTTCAAAACAAACAGCAGTTTGAATACCAAATATGTGGAGAACTCAGGGCAAATCAAAAGGATTCCCCAGATCTGCTTTTCTGAGAGAATCAGCCACTCGCTAAAGAGATCTCCCTTTTCTTGTTTACCAAGCAGTTCCAGAAGCAAATTACAGTGAACCCTTTTCACTTATTGTGGAAACACTGCAGAATTTTGTATTAGCTATTAAGTAGAGAAAGAGCAATTCAGTGCGGGCACACAGGGAGATTTTCATCTGACTGAGCACACATTCAAAGGCTGAGAGCTTCCTGAAAAACACTAACGGCATACTGACCTGCAGAAGGTGGGTTGCGGTAGCCCTCTGCTCAGGATTCTTCACTAGACATTTTTTCACGAAGTCAGTGAATTCATCAGACCAAAGCTCCGGCTTCCGGAATGTTGGAGGGGGATTTGTAGGAATCATAAATATTGCCTGGGGGGGGGGGATAAATAAATAAATAAATAATGTCACTATTTCAGTAATACAACTAGGAAGTGCTTTAGAACCAAGCTTCCACTACCACGTTCAGTACAATAAGTAGTACAACTAAGATCTCACTGGAATTGTGGAAATGGTGATAGCTACATTTTTGCAAATGGAAAAAAGCATCCATTAACGCTTTACACATCAGAATTACACTGTATGTCACATTGTTTCCCCAAGTCAGTTCAAATATTCTAATATTTATTTTTTGTGAATACATCACAGAAACTATTTCTACCTTCAGAGAAGGCTGGCAACAAATAAAGTTGCTCATCTGGTAAAAAGATTAACCATTATACCTCCAAATTAATTCTTTACTTGTCTAAATGAATGTTAAATTAAAGAATGCTGAAGATATACATTTGCTTCTGACCTTGACAATTATCAGCTTTTGAACTTTGATTTAGTAAATTACCAACTTATCTTCAACTTAACAAAGCAAATTTGTAGTAGCTTTCAGAAATCCATAAGAAAAATATGTCTTAACTACTGTTTTTATAGTGTCATCATCACAAAATGAGCTTGGTCTATATAATAATTAACACTGCTCTATGACATACTGACTCAGTATAAATTTTGCTACATAAGCCACTACATACATATATATTAGAAAAGGTTGCAGCCTTTCAAGATGTTCCGAAGTCTTCAGCATTTTATTTAAGGCCATTTGAGAATCACATTGTTGGAAAGCACAATTTAAACTACTGAATTTAACCATCTGCTCAGTGCAGGAATCCAAGTTAAAGCATGCCTGATAAATCTCTGGTTCCAATGCATACTGTTAGGAACTCTCTTCTAGTATTTAATCTGAATCTGCCTTTCCTTAGCTTCAGACTTTATTTCATGACCTGCGCTCTAGAATGATAAGGTTTGAGCTTCTTTTCTGTGCCATGCTCAGGATGATAAAAATGACTACTTTTTAAAGGTCAAATAACAGGCTACTTAAAACAAGCGTACATACAACTATTTATACAAGCTATTATGGGCTGGATCCAGACGTAGTCATAGCCCCACTGAAATTAAAACAACAGTCAGAACTATTGATTGCCATGGCCTACTCTTAAACATGACTACTCAAAGAACCAGATTAAACCCAACTGCTAGCCTGGTAATAATGGAGTGAGCAAACAGTTAAAATGACACATCCCATGCTATACATCAATAATACTACAGCTGTAACCAAAAAGTCATTTTATTCACTGGCTTCATATAGCTACCTGACAAATGGACTTATCAGTTCAGGCAACAAGGAGAAGACAATAGTTTGAGTCTCCACACCCCCACCCCATTCCTGCATAGTGATTAGTCACCACAGAATTAATCACAGCTACCACCACTCCTAACATTCCCCGTCACATCTGTACACATCCAAAACTTAATACATTCAGCACCTGGAAGTTTGACAAAGAATATGGCTCATTAACTTCAACTTTAGGCTGAATTAGTGACTTGCATAGAAAAGCAGCAAGTTTTGTTCAAGGCACAAGATTATAGAAGACAAATTTCCAATACTTTGTTGCTACTGTATTACTGAAAAAAATCTGTAATAATTCAACAATAAGATGAAATAATTTTATTGGATTTCTCAAAGTATATTTTCAGTTGCTCTTCTGATCTACACCTTCATAAAGCAATATATAAAGATGTGCACCGTCAGATGAAAGACAACTCTAGCAGGAAGCATAAGGAATAACAAAATGTCTTCATCAAAGGAAAAAATTACAAGTTCAGTCAAAGGCAGATTTAAACAGAAAGGTTGTTTAGGGAAGACTATCATATCTGGACTGCACAAATCTGTATAATCACTGCAGTGACGATCTCTTTACTGCCATTTAGAGGTTATCCAGATGATTGCAGCCTAGATATAGTAGCGTTAACTAATGGCTTCAAACATTAGACCCACACTTAGCACCAAAATTTTACTGTTGGAATCAAACTGCTGTTACTCATATATTTTACAATATGACGTTCCTGCCAGCAACACTGTACTAGTTGCAGCTTCAGAACAATTCTGAAGCTGCAACTAGTTTAGTTTAGTTTAGTTTGAAAGTAACCAGTGCCTGAGTGACTAACAACAAATAGTTCTAGATACTTGCAATTTCCATACAACCTGATGATAATAATAATAATAAAAAGCACTGGCCACTCATGTAATCCACCAGGCAAAAAATACAGTGGTACCTCTAGTTACGAACGCCCCTCCTTACGAATTTTTCAAGATACGACCAGCTCCGGCCCCAAAAATTTACCTCGTGTTGTGAACCACCTCGAGTTACGAACCGGATCCGCGGCCATTTTCCACCCGTTCCACGTGGTCCGCGGTCATTTTTCCGCCCGTTCCACATGGTCCGTGGCCGTTTTTCCACCTGTTCCCCGTGGTCCGCAGCCGTTTTTCCGCCCGGCCGCATGGTCCGTGGGCATTTTCCGCCCCTGACACGTGGTCCGTGGCCATTTTCCGCCCCTGACACGT